TGGTGCTGGGGGATTGAACCGCGGTCCCTGATGCTTTTGCTAAGCTTGTTCTAAGTAGGTGCTTTAGACCACTGAGCCATCTCTCCAGCCGCCTTTTTCATTTTTATAGGGGCTCATAGCTAGTTATTTCCCTGACTGGCCTTGAACTTTTTTGGAAATGAGTTGGACATGAGTTTTTGGGGGGCCCAGGCCAGAGAATGTTATGCTTTACATCTAAATTGTGCCTCAAGAGCTTCATGTGATCTGAAGATGATTGTATTATGGAGCCATTATGCTCATTAGTAGATTTATTTATTGCTGAGCTCAGTAGATAACTATGCTATAATTAGATGGATTCTGGTTGGAAGTATATCACTGGTAGAGTGACTTTAGAGGCTGTATTTGCATTCCCAGTGTCTCCCTTTACTCTCTACTTCCTGATTGCCATTAATAGATCTGCGTTTCTTCTACCATCTTGTTTCAGCTTTAGAGCCTGCTGACTATAGACAGAATCTTCAAATATCCCATGAGCTAAAATAAATCTCTCTTCTTTGGAGTTGTGGGTGTTGGGCATTTAGTCCAGGACTGTGATGAGAAAGCAACACTGAGCATGAGTGTTTGATGATCTAAAGTTGGAAAAAATACAAACAAAAAAATCATTCTTGGTCTATTGTTATCAACTTTTTGGTATTATAAAGTTTAATGTTTCCTAATGTTTGTTGTTGTTTACAGGTCCTCCTCCTATCCCTGCAGAACCTGTTGCTACACCTGAACCAGCATATGTTTCAAAAGTGCATTATGGTAAGGAAAGTCCTTTAAATGTTCTTTCTTAGATAATTAACCCAGTTAAAGGTACAATTAATATGTGTATATGTATGAAAATGTACACTTTGTTATTCAAACTTTTCACAGTTAGAAATAGGAAAGTTTCCCCCTATGCTTTGCTCAAAAGTAAGGGAAATAAGGGATGGAGAAGAAAGATTAAAGGAAGGGGTTTTTTCTTGTAAGAAGCTTTTAATTTCATGACTTCCCATAAATTTCAACTGCTTTTAAGAGAATTCTTTGCTTTTGTGGTCTTGCTTCCTGGTGCTCCATGGTTATTGGGCATTTTCATTTCAGATAATATATTCTTGTTCTTTTAATGGCAGTTATTAGCCACTCAAGCCCAAGAAAAGTAAAATTTCAGTTTATGTTACTGGTTATATGATGTAGGATCCATTGATTCCCTATGTAGCTTGCCTCATTTGTAAAGTGACCATTTCAGGAAATTCCTTGTAGAGTTATTGCAGGGATTAAATGAATTTGTACTTGTAAATGTAAACTACTTGTATCAGTGACTGCTGCACAGTACATGCTCAACAAATAGTAACTTTCATATTTTATTACAACTTCATCACATTCAGCATTATATGGTAGTATATCCTTTTCCTATCAAGCTATTAATTTTGTGAAATGCAGAAAAATTATTCATTATTTCTACATTGACAATGTTTTAGAAACACTTCAAATTTAAAAGTTTATGGTCTTTGTAAAATAAAAATAATAAACTTTCATTTTCCAAGCCTGCAGGTTAGGATTTGAAGTTTGTGCCTATTCAACCATGATCTTCTGTTGCTTTTAAGACAAGAAAAAGGCCCCATACATTTCTATGCTTGCATGGACCTAATAGACTAGACCATAAAAAAATAAGCACATTCAAAACACAGAATCCATTAGTAGATATAACCATTGAACCTAATGGCCACATGAATTAATGAACTGAAGGACCAAAGGGAAGCAATACAATAGCAGTGATCTCTTAATATGGGAAGAGGCACATGTCAGAAGTTCAACCTCTGTGGACATTTTTACTAACTAATGATAAAGTTAAATTCCAAGGATTGGCAAATAATGTAGATTGATGTTACCCTACAAAAACAAATCATTGAACAAGGAAGATAGCTCAGCAGTCTAAGCCCCTACCTGGCAAGTGCAGGGTTCTGAGTTCAATCCGTAGTACCTCATGCTGTGCCAGTCCTGGGTTCGTGGGTATACCATGCTGGTCCCAAAACTGGGTGCATTGGGGCACTCCTGTAATACCAGTGCTTGGGAGACTGAGACAGGAGGATCACTACAAGTCTGAACTGCATTAGTGAGACCCTGTATCAAAAGAATTTTTTTTTAAAAAAATGACTAAGAGAAGAATAAAAAAGTTTAAGTGCAAGAGTTGAGTCTACTTTAAAAGGTTTCAGTGAAGGTAAGATGTCACATAAGAGAATATAAAACCTTTAAGCTTATGGGTTAAAGTAAAAATTAAGCATTAAAATTTTTGAAGAACAAGGATTTGGAGC